CACTTGGAGTAAACTGAGGATTAAGACATTTGAGGTCTTGCTTACTAACTTTCTATCTATTTCCCTCTAGGACTGCATTCTCCTTCAAACTTATGTCATTAGTACCAACATGGGCCATGTCCTCTATCCTCCAGTTGAATGTCCTGCAAAATATCATCCTGGAGTCACATCTATGGCCACAGAAATGCTGGTCTGTTCCCATAACTAACAAATCCCATATCACGATTGCTCTTCCTTTCTTCTTACCACCCTACTGTATAGCCACGCCACTCATGCTGTCATAAACATGGCACTTTCTGCACTCCCTTGAGGATCCAGTGCCCTCATCAGCTTCCAAAATAGAAAGACAATTTATGAGTGGGACCCCAGGCGATTCCTGCATGAACTGCCTGTTTCTCGAGGACTACCTAGCAGTCATCTATTCCCTTTCTGTCTCCAGGCCCTTAAGTTGCAGTGTGAACACCTGAATGCGCATGCTATTCACGTAGGTCTCAGACCCACAAATGTACCATTTTGACTCCAGCCGCTGTTTGAGATTCGAAACCCGGAACTTAAGTTTCTGCAACTGGCAGCAATTTCTGCACATGTAATCATCAAGGACACTAATACGATCAATAACTTACTACATTTTACAGAGCACACATTTTGCTCCACCAAATTGAGCTGCCATGTCTTAACTTTATTTTCCTTTTGTTAATTTTAAACAATATTGGATTACTTATCCTGCTTTACTATATTGGCCCTCACTTTCCTTTAGTCCTGGTGTTTCTCAGGTGTAGCTACTTGTTTCGAAATAATACTCTTTTCTAATCTACAGAAATTTAAAGACAGGCCATATAACAGTTTCTTAAGATAAAGCGCTTCCTCCTCACCCTTCATCAAACTACCCACTCAGACGAAGAGAAGATGTTTCCTCATATGGGGCCATCTTGAATGAGAAGCTGTAGTTGCAGGCTATAGGGTGACAGATTTAAAACAGAGATGAGGAGGATTACTTCTCTAAAGGGATGTGAATTCATGGAATTCACTACCCAGAATGTGGTTGAAGCTGGGACACTGAATAAATATAAGGAAGAGATACACACATTTTAATTAATAATGGGTTGAAGGGTTAAGGGGAGCTGACAGGAAAGTGGCGTTGAGGTCAAGATGACATCAGCCATGTAAGATTTAATGTTCTTACGTACTTCTTTCAGTATATTAAAGATGGTGTGGAAGTGCTGGTGTTGGATTGGTGTGGACAAAGTCAGAAGTCACACAACACCAGGTTATAGTCCAACAGGTTTATTTGAAATCAAAAGCTTTTGGAGCACTGCTCTCCATCAGGTGAAGTATATTAAAGTGCACCTTTCCCCTTCTGAACAGATTTCCCACTTTGAACCAAATTCCTAGATATATGTTTTTCTGTTTTATTCAGGAAAAGTCTCCCTCAAAATGTTCAGACTATTCCATGTGCTTGAATTTTGTTTACTAACCTCCTGAAAAACTTTCAAAAATCCACAGCAGAGGACAAACCCAACAGAGGGACTACACTGCTTTACAGTTGGGAGGGAATTTCCCTTGAAATCCTGAACATTGACTCCGGACCTCATGAAGTCTCATTGTATCAGGTCAAACATGGACAAGGAAACCTTCTGCTCATTATCACATAACACCTCCACCCCTGCCACCAGCTGATGAATTAGCTCTTCTTCAATGTTGAACAACACTTGGAGGAAGCACTAAGGGACTAAGGGTAGCAAGGGTGCAGGATGTATCCTGGGTTGATGTTTTCAATGTCTACCACCAAGAGTGGCTCAGCAGCACCATTACTGACTGAGCTAATCAAGTGCTAAAGGACATAGCTGCTAGACTGGATCTGCAGCAGTTGATGAGAGAACCAAAAAATCTAATTGCTTTCATCCTCACAAATCTGCCTGAGATACATCCATTCCTGACAGAATGTTATGTTACTCCACAAGCCTTTGTGGAGATGAACTTCCAACATCACATTGAGAATACTCATGATGATGTGTGCCACTGGGACAAAAATATTCCTTCTCACCTCTGTCTTAAATAGGTGACCTGTTACTCTTAGATTATGCCCTCTGGACATAGACTCTCCCACAAGGGGAAACATACTTTCCGCATCTACCGTGTCAAGTCACCTGAGAATCTTGTATGTTTCAATAAAGTCATCTCTCATACTTCAAAACTCAATGGGTACAGGCCCAACACACTCAACCTCTCATCATAAGATAGTGACTCCATATCTGGGATCAAGCTAGTGAAACATCTCTAGACTGCCTCCAATATCAGTATATCTTTCTTCAGATGAGGGGTCCAAAACTTTTCACAGTATCGTAGGTGTAGTCTAACCAATGCATTGTATAGTTCTAATAAGATTTCATTCTTTTTATACTCTATTCCCTTTGAAACAAAGACCAATATTCCAGAGATAGTAGGAACTGCCGATGCTGGAGAATCTGAGATAACAAGGTGTAGAGCTGGATGAACACAGCAGGCCAAGCAGCATCAGAGGAGCAGCATCTAGACCCTTCTTCTGATGCTATTTGGCCTGCTGTGTTCATCCAGCTCTACACCTTGTTACCAATATTCCATATGTCTTCTCTATTAACTGCTGATTGATGCACAAGGGCCCCCAAAGTCTTCTGTCTGAACATTTCTGCAGTCCTTCTCTATTTAAATAATATTCAGCTCCTCTGTTCTTCCTCCCAAAGTGAGTAACCTCACATTTTCCACACCCTCTCCAGGCAACTTTTCCTCTGAGTTGCTTGGCCGCTTGCACAGCAGCCACTCTGATGGTCCATACATGGTGATCAGTTTCAACCCCAATTACAGCACTGACTTGCAGATATGGAAGTCACTGTCATGCATGATGCTCAGAGGCCTGAGTAGCCAGTAAGAAAATTAGAGGGAACACTGCCTCGGGGGTCATTACAGATGGACAATAAATCCTGGAGTAGCCAATAACACCTATATCATCTGAACAAATGAAAAACAAAAGAAATCCACTGGCTCTTCCTTATTTATTCTTCAAGTAACATCCACAAAAATTTCCAACAGGCTTGTCAAAAATGATTTCTATTTCATAATCCATGTTGACCCTGCCCAGTCCTACCATTATTTTCAAAGTATCCTGTCAGCATTATATTCTAAAGTTTTCACTGCAACTGATGCTATGTCAACAGGCTCGCAGTTCCTGATTTTCTCTCTTCCTCCCTTCTTAGGTAGGTGGGGTTACATTTATCATCATTTAATCTGCTGTGTACATTCCAGATATAACTACTCACTCAGGTAATGCAACAGAAATCAAGTCTTACTATTCCTGGAGTCATCACAAAGGTTGAAGGTATATTTTAAGGTACTCAAAGTTCTTCAATATACCTGATGTTCAGACCTTGTTTCATGGAAAGCATGGACTAGATTTCTGTACTTAACAAGAATTTGAATTAATATTTATTATAAGTAATAAGACTATAGCTACAGGTGAATAGTTATAGACTGCCAGCATTTAAGACTACTAATTAAAATATTAACTCTCTGATAATCTTCCTCTGGTGCGCGTGCACAATCAAGGCAAGAAAGATTATGGACAGGGCATTAAAAACGAGAAAGACAATTCAGTAGTCTTTGTTACCAGGTTCTGATGCTTACAACTGTTCTGCTAGCCAGCATGTAGTTCACTTGTATTTCTCTGGATGATTCCAATGCTTAGGAAGCCACACAATGTTGTCAATTCACTCGTAAAAAGTTTCTGACTTCAGTTAAAATTCATTGCTTACTACAACTGTTGCAGGAAATGTAAACTGGTTTTCTTCAGGTTTACGGTAAGTTTTGACTGCACAAAATAGAGAGACTACTCACAAGATGGGGAGAAATGGATCATCGCTCTCTCTCTCTGTAACTTGTTCTGAGCTCCAACCTTTTCAGTTACCTCGGACCCAATCACTCAGTAGGAAAGAAGGTCCCTGTCATTGATAACTGGGCACTAATCCATACAACAATGAACTTCTTGTTGCCTGTAAAAGCTGCATCTGTACACCCCTCTGCTCAAGTCTGCAACTCAAACTTCAATTATTGCTTGTTCAAACTATTGTTTACAATACTTGCCACAGATGTCAGGTTACTTGTTTTACAAAACTGCAGCCATCCTTTCAAACACTGGTTTTAAAACAGTTCTTTCTTATTTCAGTCCATAGTTTTCTTTAGAAAAGCATACAAAGTAAAAAGACATGGTCCTTATACAAAGTGTATTGAATTTTGTAAGACGATCATCAATTTATCCACTATCTCCACAGCCCCTTCTTTAACACTCTGGGATTAGATAATTGGGTCCAGAAGATTTATCCTCTTTAGTTCCCGTAATTTATCTTGCACTACTTCTTTGCTAACAATAATATCTTGCAGTTCCTCTTTTAAACTAATCTTGAAAATCTCCATTATTTCTGGGAGATTATAATATTTTGCTTAATGAGGATAAATACAAATTATTTCTTTAGTTTTTTTCTGTCATTTCCTTATTCTCCATTATAAACTCTCGATTCTGCTTGTAATATATCCAAATTTGTTTTTCCTTTTTTTTTCCCTTCTTACAAAGCTTTAGAAGCTTTTACAGTCCATTTTACATCACTTGTTAATTTACTGTCATATTCTATTTTTGCTTTCTTAATCTTTCTCTTGGTCATCATTCACAGAATTCTAAAATGCTCCAAATCTTCAATTTAAACACTTTTCCTTCTCAATTTTATATGTCTCTTCCTTCCATATAATACAATCTTTTTTTTTTGTTAGTCATGGTTGAACACTTTGCTTGCTGTGATTTTGCACATGAGAATGGAAGCTATTTCTTGTTGCGTACCCTAAAATGCTGAATGAGAAATTATTGACTGGACTGTAACCTACATCTGACAATTTCACAGAAATGAACTTCTGTTGGCATCTATCTGCACGATTTATTTAACTACACTTACTGTTGTGTTTTTATTTGTTAATGATAGTCTGTGGAAGGCCAGTTCGATCCCTGCCACCACTCAACAAGCGAATTATTGGAGGGCGGACTGCACTCCCAGGCCTCTTCCCCTGGCAATTATTGATGGTGGTGGAGGACATGAGCCGAGTCCCAAAGGACAAGTGGTTTGGCAGCGGAGCTTTGCTCTCCAGGTCGTGGGTATTGACGGCAGCTCATGTATTACGATCACAGAGACGGGACACCATCACCATGGTACCTAGTGAATATGTCACTATCTACCTGGGGCTTCATGATGTTCGGGAGAAGGAAGCTGCTGTGAAAAGAACTGTAGAAAAAATCATTCTTCACAAAGCGTTTGATCCCAGAACTTACAACAATGACATTGCATTAGTAAAGATGAAGGACAAGGTCACTATGAATGTCTTTGTGATGCCTTTATGTCTTCCCAGTCTTCATCAGGAGGTGGAAGAACCACAGCCAAATACTCTGGGATTAGTGGCTGGCTGGGGCATTACCAACCCGAACTTGACTATGGACGATGCCACTGGTGGTGACCATGCAACACTGTCAAATATCTTACAGTATGTGAAGCTTCCAGTCACACTCCAGGCTGAGTGTAAGAGCAGCTATGAGTCACGTTCTGACAGCTACAACGTGACAGATAACATGTTCTGCGCTGGCTTTTATGAAGGTGGAAAGGACACATGTTTAGGTGACAGTGGAGGAGCGTTCATTACATACAACTCAGTCACACAGAGCTGGGTTGCTCAAGGACTGGTGTCTTGGGGCGGGCCTGAGAAATGTGGCAGTAAACGAGTTTATGGAGTTTACACCAAGATTTCCAAGTATGCAAGGTGGCTGGCTGACAAAATGAACAATTCCTCAGATTAATGCAGAGTGCATGTGAATTGCACCCTCAGAAAAATCAAACATTTCCTTTTCAAAGAAGGAATCTGCTACATTAACGTGGACTGAGTTTGTGTGATTTATATGGACTGTGTCAGGGCTCTGTGTGATTATTATGCGCTTTGACTGGGCTTTGGGTCTGGGCTCTGTCTGATCTATAGGGACTGCATCTGGGCTAAGAGTGTTTCATATGAATTTTGACTGGACTCTGTATGAACTATACGGATTAGATCTAGGCTCTGTGTGATTTAAAGGGACTGGAACAGGATTGTATGGGATATACATAGACTGAGCCTGAGCTCTGTGAGATTTACATGGACTTTGACTGGGCTCTGTGTCATTTTGCTATGGACTGTGTCTTGGCACTGTGTAAGTTTTATGGACTGGATCTAGGTGCTTTATTATTTATATTCACATTATATTGAATGTGGCAGGACAAGGTGGTTAAGTGAGGTTGTGGTAGAGGTACTGAGCTTAGTAAACTTTGCAAATGTCTGGATAGACCCATCAAGAATACTATGTCCAATCCTGGGCATTGGACTTGAGGATGGATGTTAAGTTCTTGCAGAAGGTACGAAGGAGATTTATCAGGAATAAGAGATATCACCTAGAAACGTGGACTAAATGGCCTACTCCAGCTGTCCACACCTGTCAGAATTTTATATGTTTCACCGAGATCCTCTCTCGTTCTTATAAATTCCACTGAAAATAGACCCACTCAACCTACTCTTTCCCCATACAACAAAATTGCCATCCCAGGAATCAGTCTAGTGAAACTTTGCTACGCTCCCTCTATGATAAGACATATTTTCTTAGCTAAGGAGATTGCTGAACAATGTATTCCAGGTGTGGTTTCACCAAGGCCCTGTATAGCTGCAGTAAGACATCCTCGCTCCTGCATTCAAACCCTCTTGGAATGAAGGCATCTTCTTTCCCTGCTTGCTGCACCCACATACTTGCTTTCAGTGACTGGTGTAGTAGCAACTTTTAATGACACTTTTTGAAACCAGTGTTATCATTAATTTCTTTTGGTAACTATGGTTAGGCCACTTTGCCTACAGTGTTATTTTACCAACGGGATATATAACTGATTCAATGCATGCATTTGTTCCTAAAATATTAACCATTACCTACCACTGTTAAGCCCTTTAATGACATTACCCAATCTATTACAGCCAACTCACCCCTCATGTCTTCATAGTTTCCTCTGTTTAGCTTTAGGGCCCTGTTTTCGATCATGCTACTTTACTTTCTACCTTAATGAAGAATTCTATCATGTTATGATCACCTTCTCACAGCAAGATTATTTAGTTATCCTTTCATATTGCATAAAATCAAATTTAGAAAAGCCAGCCCCTAAGTTGGTTTGTCAACATCTGGTGTAAAAGAAATCTTGTACACACTGTAGGAATTAATTTGCTTCAGTAACATTATCAATGTGGTTTGCCCAGTCTATCTTTACATTAAAATCACCCTTGATTAAAGTTGCATGCATCTCTAATTTCCTGTTTAATTCCATCTCTTAACTCACTGTAACTGCTTGGAGAGCTACAGACAACTCCTACATTCCACCCCTTGTTGCATTTTAGCTCCATCCAGACTGATTCCACATCTGAATTTCCCATGCCATTATTCTTTTGCATTTTTGCACTGATTTCATCTTTCACTAACAACACCAACCCACCTCCTTTTCCTTTTTGCCTGTCCTTCCTGAAGATTGAATACACTTGGAAGCTCATTTCTCAGCTTTGGTCACTGTGCAGCCATGTCTTTGTAATCAAAATCATATCATAATCATTCACAACTAATTGTCCTGTTAGTTCATTTGCCTTGTTGTGAATGTTTCATTATTCAGACATAGTATCCTTAGACCTTTTTTTGATATTTTAACATATGTTGTGGTCGATGGTCTTATTTGCTGGTATGGCCCTTATTTGCTCCACTTTCTAGTTTTGATTTCTACTTACTCTTGTCTACCTGCTTAGTTTTTTTTGCCCATCCTAGTTTAAATCCTCCTCCACTGTACTGGCAAATGTCCCAACGTTCAGTTACGTGCAGAGGTTATAAGAAACTAGGATGGGTTCCCTTAGAACAGACTAAACAAAATTCTTCAAAATGATGAGAGATCTTGATGGAGCCAAATGGGTCAGTAATAAGGTTATAAACTTAAAATAATTGGTGAAGTTATTTCATACAGAAGGTTTTTAAAATCTGGAATGATAGGGATGGTTACATAAGATGCCATAGCAACATTCAAAAGAAATTTGAGGAAGACAACAGAGTTTGGCAAAAACACCAGGCCGATTTAAACAGTACTAAAGGTAAAATCATCACTGCCCCACCCTCTGATTAGAGAGAGACATCTGGTGGTGGTTTAACCTCAAGGTCACCATGCGTCAGGCAAGGAGAGAGATTGAGAAGGAGGGACCTTCATGGTAACTTCAGTCAACACGAAAATTGAATATGTGCTGTTGGCATCACTCTGCATCACAAACCAGCTGTCCATCCAAATAAGCTAACTGACCCCCCAAATGTAAAAGAGCCATGACAGGAATGGCAATCTAAATGACCTTCTTATGTGCTATGAAATTTTAAAATTTTGATTTGAGTTGAGGGTGAGATGTATTCAAAATATTCCAACATTGAGTGATAAACATAGAATGTGCAGCAGTAAAACAAGGCCCAACATGAACCTCTAGATACTAAAGGATCAAAACGTGAACCTAAGTACTAAGGTCACAAAACAGCAGATGTCCTAGATAACAAAGTGTAGAGCTGGATGAACACAGCAGGCCAGGCAGCATGAGAGAAGCAGGAAAGCTGATGTTTCGGGTCTGGACCCTTGTTCAGAGATGTCCTAGAGGAGTGTGGAAAATGCAAGGGATTGCTTAAAAAAAATTAGGAGAGTGAAGAAAGGACATGATACCTCATTAACATTAAGGAAAATCCAAAGGTGTTTTATAAGAATATTGGAGGCAAGAGAATAAAGAGGAGAGAAAAAAGGCCCATTAGGGATCATAGCAGCAATCTGTGTGTAAGCCAAAGACAATGCTGAGGTTTTAGATGAGTACTTTGAACGTTTATTCACTAGAGAGAAGGACAACGTAGGATTAGAAACCAGAGAGGGGTCTTTAATATATTTGGATGAATTAGTATTGCGAGAGAGGAGGTATTAGTTTATTTGTCAAGCTTGAAAGTAGACAAATCCCCAAGCCCAGATGAGGTGCATCTCAAGCTGCTGTGGGAAGCAAAGGAGGAGATTGCAGGGATTCTGCCATTAATTTTCAAATTCTCTCTGGTTACAGGATGGGTGCCAGACGATTGGACAGTAGCTAATGTGGTAATATTATTCAAGAAATGTGGTAAGGATAAGCTAGAAAATTACAGGCCTGTCAGTCTGATATCTGTGGTAGTGAAAATATTGGAAAAATGATAAGTATACAAGTGGGGAAATCTTACTCCAACTGAACGGGGAATTTGTGAAATCCTAAACGGAATTTTGGCACCTTTATTTTTAAGCAGGAATATATTTGTACTTGAGGCAGTTCAGAAAATGTGTCCAAGGCTGATCCTTGAGATGAAGGCATTACTTATGAGGAAAGCAGCCTGCACCTACACTCATTGGAATTTCAAAAAGTTGTTTCCTGTTGAAATATGTAGGATTTTGAGTGTGTTTGACATGGTGGATGGTGGGAGAATAGTTTTCCTCATGGGAAGAATTAGAACTAGAGAGCATTAGAATGTTAGGGGCAAGAGAATAAACAGGGGAGAAAACGGCCCATTAGGGATCATAGTTGCAATCTGCATGTAAGCCAAAGAGAATGTCGAGATTTTAGATGAGTACTTTCAACCTGTATCCACTAGAGAGAAGGACAACGTACGTGTAGAAAACAGAGAGGGAGACTTTGAATCTGAGGTCTCTCACTTAGGATGGAAATTAAGAAGAAATTATCCTCTCAGAGATCCTTAGATATTCTAAATTTTCTTCTGAAAAGAGTGCAGGCTGGCTCATTGAATATACTCAGAGTTGAGCTCAAGGCCTTTTTATTCTGCAAGACAGTGAAAGGCTGTAGAGGAGCATACAGAAAGGGGGAGTTAAGGCCATAATCAGGTTAGTGATGATCTTAATGCTCATTAGAACAGACCTGAGGGGCTGAATGGCCAATACCCGCTCCATTGTTTTATATTGTTATCTTATAATCAACTGTGCTACCCTTGGAAGAAATACATTCCAGATCCCAATAACTCAATGTCACATCTAGACCTATAATGACAATAGACTTATGTCTTTTGACCTACTTGCCATTAGAAACAGTTTCTTCTTATTTACTCTGTCGAATTCCTTAACATTTTGGACACACTGTTCAATCTCCCATTTGCCTGCACTGCCCTAAGGAGAACAATCCCAACTTATCCAGACTCTCCTCATTCGTGAAATCTCTCATCCCTGGTCCTATTCTAATAAATCTCCTCTGTAACCTCTCTAATTTGTTGACATCTTCCCTGAAGTGCCTGAATGAAGCAAAATGCCTAATAAGCGATTTTTAAAAGTTCCGCATAACTTCCTTCCTTTTGAACTGTGTGAAGGGAATCAGTTAGCTCAGTTGGTTAAATGGATGCAGTGTGGTGCAAAATAAAGGTAGCTGCGTAGGTTCAATCCCCATACTGCCTGTAGCAATTCACAGTGACCTGCCTCTTCACATTGCTCATGCTTGTGGAATGATTACCCTCAAGATATACATAATCAATGTACTCAACCAATTTTCTCTCTCAGATGTATAAAGGTGTTGATGGTCCTTTGTAAACTATGGCTCCTTTCATACCTACATTAGGAAAGACATAGGTTGACTTATACATTTTAAACGCATCAAGGATTGTGGGGAGAAAGCAGAAATATGAAATCAAGATAGCGGATTAGCCATGATCATGTTGAATGGCACAGCAGGCTCAAAGGGCCAAATGGCCTGTGCCACTCCTAGTTTCTTATGTGGGCCTCAGTGATCAAAAGCAAGGATCCTGTAGGTTTTATTTTATTAACTCACCTTCTGAACCTGCCCTGCCACCTACAAAGATCAATCTATATACACCCCAGCTCTCACTTTTCGAGTACCACCCCCTGGAAAACCAGATCATTTAACCGTCCATTCTTCCTGCACAAATATATTGTTTTTCATTTCTCCACATTCAATTTCATCTCTCTTGTGCCCATTTAACCAATTGAAGTGGCCTGAAGTCTGTCACTGTCGTACTTTTACTACATTTCTGATATTTTTGTGAGGTGAAAATTTTGAAATTATTCTTTGCACAGTTCAAGAGAATGAACTTTGGGTTTTCTTTTATGTTAGATTTTAACTTGTTCTCTCTATCCATCTTTATCCTTGGGTTTCCTGCATAATGAGACTGACAATTACCACAAACCACCTTTTCTATCTCATTTTACTCTCTAGCCTGTTGAAGTGATGAAAAGATTCAATAGGGTGGACATAGGGAAAATGTTTCTCCTTGTGGGAGAAAAGAATTAGGAGCTATGAATGTAAAATAATCACACAAATCTAATTGTGAATTCAGGAGAAAACTCTGGGGGGATTTAGTTATAGTTATTTAGTTATAATGCCATGAAATGTCAAGGAGCAATGGTTGGATTTTCACTTGTTGGAGATTATCATTGCCTGGTACTTGTGTGGCAATGAATACTACTTGCTACTTTTCAGCCCAAGTTGGGATATTGCCCTGGTCTTGCTGCATTTGGTTATGGACTGCTTCAGTATCCGAGAAAAATGAATGGTGCTGAACATTGTGCAATCATCAGCAGACATGCCCAATTCTGACCTCCTGAAGGAGGGAAGGTCATTGATTAAGGAGCTGAAGATGGTTAGGCCTAGGACATGACCCTGAGGAACTCCTGCAGTAATATCCTGCAGCTCAGGTGACTTACCTCCAAAACCACAAACATCTTCCTTTATGTCTGGTATAACACCAAGCAGTGAACTGTTTCTCCCTTGATTCCCATTGTCTCTAGTTTTGTTAGGGATCCTTGATGCCAAACACAGTCGACTACAAGATGTTGACTTTGTTAAGTTGGGAAGGTGGGGGAACCAGATAATCTGCACTCCCAATAAAATTCACTACTTTTCTGCAGAGTGACCACTAACTAAAAACACTGTTCAACTGATCCACTGACTGAAATACTGTTCCACAGCGTAGCCACTAACTGTAATACAGTCTCACAGAGAGACTGCTGACTGAAGTATTGTCCCATAGAATGACCACTAACTGAAATACTGTCACACAAAGTTACGACTGACTGAAATACAGTTCAACTGACTCTTTTGATTGAAATACTATCCTACAGAGTGACCACTGACTGAAATATTGTCCCAAAGAGTGACCACTGACTGAAATACTCTCACAGAATGTCCATTCACTGAGATACTGGCCCATAGATTGATCACTGACTGAAATCCGTGGACCTGAAGACCAACATCTTAAGGTTCTGAAGGAGATGGCTTAAATGATATTGGGTCCAGTGCTGTGATCTTCCAAAGTTTCCCACTTTCTGAAAAAGTTTCGACTGATACGCTAGCAGTAAATGTAGCTCAACAGGGCTAGGAAACAGAGACTAATAGTTCAGTTAATGTGAGAACAGGAATCAGGAAATTGTTGGAATCTGCTGTTAAGAAGGGTGTTAACAGGGCATGTTGATGATAGTCAAGTGATTTGGCAGTCAGCTTATTTTCTCAAAGTTATATTGTGTTTGATAAATTTATTTCTGTTTTATTGTGGTTAATAAATGGGAAGCAGTAAATGCTGTGTATTTCAATTCCTGCAAGGCATTTGATAAGTTGTCACATAAAATGTTATGAGATAAGATAATGGCTCATGGATTTGGGTGACACATTAGTACTGCAACAGGAAACTAAGAGTGGACTTAAAGCATTTTCAAGCTGGCAGATTTTAGCAAACGGAGCACTCAGGCCACAGCTATTTACAATCCACATGAATGACTCAGAAAAGGTAACATATCTAAATTTGCTGGCAACACAAAGCTGGTGGGAATGTAAGCTGTGGGGAGATCACAAAGAGCTTGCACAGAGGTCATAGAATCAACACAGCACAGAACCAGACTCTTTGGTCCAACTTGTCCATGCTGACCAATTTTCCCAAATTAAACTAGTCCCACTTACCTATGTTTGGCCAATATCCCTCTAAACCTTTCCTTTCATGCACCTGTCCAAATGTCTTTTAAATGCTGTAACTGTACCTGCATCTACTACTTCCTCTGGCAGCTCATTCGACATATAAACCACTCTCTGTATGGAAAAGTTGCCCCTCAGATTCATTTTAAATCTTTCTTAAAAATATGCCCTCTGGTTTTGAATTCCCCTATTCTAGGGAAAAGACGTTTGATGTTCACCTTATCTTTGTCCTTCATGATTTTATAAACGTCTATAAGGTCAACCTTCAACCTTCTGTGGAAAATGTCCCAGCCGATCCAGCTTCTCCTTATAACTCAAACCCTCCAGTTTAAGTAAGAAGCAAACTAGCAGATGGGCTATAATGTGAAAAAGTATATGCCTTGATCTTAAAAACAGAAAATGTGAAACTTGTAATGAATGTTGATGCTAGGAGAGACTTGGGTAAACTCATATAAGGAACACAGAAAGTCAACATGCAGCTCCAGCAAGTAGTTAGGTAGGAAATTATTGTCAGGGAATTGGGAGTACAGGAATGAAGAAGTTTTGCTACGGGACTTTGATGAGACCACACCTGGAATACTGACTATAAATTCATTCTCTTGGAAGGATTAACTTGTACTGGAGGTCATACTGCAAAGGTTAACTGGACTGGTTCCTGGATTAAGAAGGTTGTATGTCCCTTTTGCCGAAGGAAGTTTGGCTGCAAGATCCCTAAAGCAGGAAGTCCCTCATCTGTGCATGCCAAACATTAAATGGCTGCAGGACAGCGGGTATCGAGTCTCTATTCCCAGCTGGCTGTTCCAGTGGTGGGATGCGAGACTGCTACATCCGAAAAAGCCCACCAAGACCACGTGAACAGGGTTCATTGTACAGTATTGGGGTTCAGAAACCAGAATGTGTACAATATTGTGTTCAGCAGTTGTCATGGAGCATATTATCGGGGTTCTGTCGTCATGATTGTGTACAGTATTGAGGCATCTATAAACGGGACGATGTGCACTATCAGACTCTTGTACTCAGGATGGTATCTACAAAAATATTGGGGATCGCAATCAGGATTGTGTACTGTATCAAGTTTAGTAATTTGGATTGTGTACATTACGGGGTTCTGTAATCAGGAATGTGCCCAGTATTAAATTACGGTAATCAGAGTGCTGTACAGTATCAGGATTCGGTATTGGGATGGGGTAGACTATTGGCGTTCTGTAATTGGAATTTGTAAAATGCCAGGGTTCCTTAATCAGGATTTCAAAGTTTGCATGTGATTTAAATCGGGGTCCTGTGCTTCTTGCAGGACCCTTCCTGATTCTGATGATCTGACCCAACAACAGCTGGCGCTAAGCGGCAGGAAGGGATCACCCCGAGCTCCCAGGTCAGTTGCTGGTTTGTTCTTTCCGGCTGCCTGTTAATTTCTGGGTGTTTCTTGGTTTGGTTTCAGATTTTGGAAAATTCACTTTATAATTCTGTTGGTGTTGCAGGTTTTGTTTCTCAGGCTGGGGAAATGGGATTGCATACCGGATGGGCAATGACAGGGGTGTATGACGAGGGAGCAGATAACAGCATGGAGATAGCAGAAGAGAACAGGACAGGCCTGTTAAAGAGGAATGGAGCTGGATGAAGCCGTAGATATAGAATACGTTGTGTTCAGTGGCAGACACCCAGCAGAGCGGCAGTTATTGAATTGGAGATCATTGAGCCATCTCAAGCCTTGCAACACATTATCCACAGCACTTCCTGTCTTTTTTTTTGCTTCTTTCATGAGATGTTGGCATCATTGGCAAGACCAAAATTTCTTGCCCATCCTTAACTGCTCTCGAATTGAGTGGCTCTCCAGTTCATTTTAGAGGGCAATTAAAAGTCAATCACATGGCTCTGGATTTGGAGTCACGTGTTGGCCAGTCTGGATATGGATGATAGATTTCCTTTCCTAATCAACATTAATGAACCAAATGGCTTTCCACAACAATCAAAGATAGTTTCATGGTCACCATCACTGGGGCTAGCTTTCAATTCCAGATATTGTGTATTGACAATAAATCCTACCAGCTCCTGCAGTGGGCTTTGAACCTGTCTTTCCCAGACCATTAGATTAGGTCTTTAAATTACTAATCCAATATCATCACCACTATGCTACCATCTTACTTAAGGGCCCCTCTGACCCTTAACCTTTCTTGCCACAGGATCCTTCCAGGGTTGATCAGCAGATGGCAATGAGATCTCCCATTTCTCTGTCTCACTGTGTCAGGCCACCACCTGGAGTCACTACGTCAGGATTCAATGATCGATTGGTGTACAGAATTGAGGCTCAGGATTGGTATGACGTACAGTATCCAGTTCAATAATCAGGATGGTATACGGTATCAGGGTTCAGAAATGGGGATGATATACGGTATGGGTGTTCAAAAATTAGGATGTTGTACAGTATCTGGGTTCACTGATCAATGGTCTGCAGTATCAGGGTACAGTAAGGGGTATAGTGTACAGTTTTGGTTTCAAGTATTAGAATGTTGTGCAGTATCTAGGTTCAGTAATCAGGACGGTGTATTGTATCAGGATTCACTGTTGTTCAGTGTTTGGATTTGCATACAGAATTGAGGTTCAGGAACTGGTATGGTGTACAGTATCAAGTTCAATAATCAGGATGGTGTACAGTATCTTAGTTCAGTAATTGGGATGATATAAAATATTAAGGTTCAGGAATTGGGAAGGTGTATAGTATTTGGGTTCAGAAATGCCAAAAGTGTACAGTATCAGGATTCAGTAATCAGGATGGAGTGCAGTGTCGGGATTTTGTAGTTGCGATTGTGTACTATATCTGGGTTCAGTAACTGGGATAGTGTACAGTATTGGAGGTCGGTAGTCTGGATGATGTACTGTGTCAGGTTTCAGGAATCAGGATGGTGTAATAGTTTTATGTTTAGTAATCAAGATGGTGCACGGTATCAGTTTTGAGTAATTGGAATGGGTTACAGTCTCAGAGTTCCGTAACTGGGATGGTGTACAGCATAAGGGTTCAGTAGTCAGATGGTATGTAGTTTTAGGTTCAGTAATTCAGTAATTGTCTAATATTGGGGATCTGTAATCGAGATTGTGTACAGTATCAGGGTTCAGTAATAGGGATAGTGAACAGTATTCATGTTGACTAGACTGGATGGTGTACAGTACCAGGTTTCAGGAATTGGGATGGTGTACAGTAGTGAGTTTCAGTAATTAGAATGGTGTATAGTTTTGGGTTCAGCAATTGGCATGGTGTACAGTTTTGGTTTCATGTATCAGGATGTTGTACAGTATCCAGGTTCAGGTGCATTATATCGAAGTTCAAGACTCAGGTTTGTGTACAGTATCAAGGTTCAGTTACAGGGCTGATGCTGTACTGAATGGGATTTCAGTAATTAGTATGATGTACAGTTTTGGTTTTATATATCAAGATGTTTTACCATATCCGGATAATCAGAAAGGTATATTGTATCGAAGTTCAAGACTTGGGTTGATGTATAGTATCAGTATTCAGTAATAGGTATGGTGTACTGTAACTGAGTTCAGCAGTTGGGATGGTGTATAGTTTTATGTTCAGTAATCGGAAAGGTGTACAGTATCAGTTTTCAGTAATCATAATGGGATACAGTATCGGGGTTCAGTAATTGGGATAGTGTACTATATAGGGGTTCAGTAGTCAGATGGTGTACAGTTTTATGTTTGGTAATTGGGATGGTGTACAGTATCAGGATTCAGCAATCAGAATGGTGACTGTATCAGGTCAGTAAATGGGATGGTATACAGTATCAGGGTTCAGTAATCAGGATTATATACAGTATTGAGGTTCAGTAATTGAAATTGTGTACAGTATTGAGGTTCAGTAATTGAGATGGTGAACAGTTTTATATTCAGTAATCGGGTGGTGTACAGTATCAAGTTTGACAAATTGAGATCGTGTATGGTATCAGGGTTCAATAATCGGGATGGTGTACCATATTGGGTTCAGTAATCAGGATTGTGTACAGTATCGAGGTTCAGTAATTGGGATGGTCAACAATTTTATGTTCAGTAATCGAGTTCGTGTACAGTATGAAGTTTGAGAAATTGAGATGTTGTACAGTGTCAGGGTTTAGTAATCGGGATGGTGCAAAGTATCAATGTTGATAATTGGGACATTGTACAGTTTTGGGTTCATCTGGGGAAATGGTATAGTTTTATGTTTAGTAATCAGGATGGTGTACAGAACCAGGGTTCAGGAACTGGGATGATGTGCAAAATCGGGATGCTATATTTTATCAGGAATCAGGATGGTTAGGATATTGGGGTTCAGTAATGGGATGCTGTACTGTATCATGGTTAGGTAATCAAGATGGTGTGCAGAATCAGAGTTCAGTAATCGACAGGTTGTACCATATCGGAGTTCAGTAATTGGGATGGTGTACAGTATTAGGGTTCAGTAATCGGGATGGAGTACAGTATCAGGGTTCAATAATTGTGATGAGGTATAGAATCAAGATTCAATAATCATGATGGTGTACTGAATCTGACTTCAGTAATTAGAACAGTGTATGGTTTTGGGTTCAGTAATTGGTATGGTTTTTTTTATGTTCAGTAATCAGAAGGCGTACAGTATAGTTTTCAGTAACTGGAATAGGATACAATATCAGAGTTCCATAGTCAGATGGTGTACTGTTTTATGTCCAGAAATTGGGATGGTGTCTATTATTGGGATTCAGGAATTGGAATGGAGTTCCGCATCAGAGCTCAGGAATTGGGTTGGTGTGGAGTATTAGGGTTCAGTAATGGGGCTGGTGAACAGTTTTATGTTCAGTAATTGGGAAGATGTACAGTATCAGGTGTGATGAATTGGGATTGTGTACAGTATCTGGGTTCAGTAATCGGGATGGTGTATATTATCGGCATTGAATAATCAGGATGTTGTACAGTTTTGAGTTCATCTATGGGAATGGTGTACAGTTTTATGTTCAGTAATAGGGATGGTGTACAGTATCAGGGTTGAGTAATTGGGATAGATAAAAATGTCGAGGTTCAGTAATCAGGATGGCGCACAGTATGAGTTGGGATAGTAGATTCAGTCTGTTTCAGGAATCAGGATGGTGCGTCTTTCTGTCTATCCCTAGGATATTGAGTTCATTTGCATCAAACCTTTTGTCCCAATCCGACACTTTTCCAAAACTCAATTTGTAAAGACTGTTTTATTCATTCTTGAACTTTAAGCGTAATATTGTACAAATTTACATTTGATCAAAGTGGTACCATATGCAGCCCTGAGGTGTCCAAGCTACCTCAAATCACCTCAAAAAGGTCAAGCAATGCAAATATTTGAACAACAGGTTAAGCAAAAGTGTTATGCTGGCTGTGTGAATGGTATTTCCCATTAACCAGAAGACATAAAAGAAAAGGTGCTCTGCCTATCCCACAACCAGCCAACCAGCCTGGAATTTGTCATCCATGTGTTTGTTCTGTTGAGGGCAAGATTAACATCTTCAATAATATGTCTCTGTTTTAAGAAGTATTCAAGTTCCATACAACCAAGGCTGTCTTTTCAAATTATTAGATGGTTTGATTGGTGAAATGTTTATACATTTAGGTATTTCCAATGAAAAACATATTCCATATTGAATCTCAACACAATTTCTACCTACAATACTAAAACTAATCATATTTCCACCTCTAAACCCTCATTAGTTAAAGGTCAGGCGTAATGATAAAGTTGTGTTTTGAACCATATTTAATCCTGAACTGCAGTGTAAATCAGAACACATGATCAGAACATCTATTGCAGAATTTATTTCATAATGTATGCATGATATACTGGAACATTTTGTAACCCAGTTAAAATATTTGTGGCAATAGCAGACTCTAAATAATAAACATTTGTTTTGGTTGATATGCATTGGTTCTCTGGTTAATTTGCCAAATTAACTCTAGGAACCTGGAATGGGAAACTAGTCAAACCACACATCAACCTGCAGATCTACAATCAATGTCTAATCAAACATCACAGACCCATACCCTTTGCAGGTTTTGAAGGCTAAAAAATTGTGTGTCCAACATTTGCGAGGAGCAGCCCTCAACAACTTAATCCCATTCTCTGAAATTTTCTGTGAAACCCTCCATCTCCAATTTCGTGAAGATCATTCTTAAAGGCCACTCCTTCAGCTTCTTACTGCTCTGACTCTCACATGCTTTGTTCACACCCCCAGTTTATCTTCACCCTCCACTGAAACATCTTGTGACACATTTATACTTTAAAGGCACAAGATTCATGTCTTTATACTCCCTGAGTCCGAGCTACACCAGGTCATGAGGTTACAGATTGTGTTGCAGTACAGTTCTGCTATTGCTGATGGCCCACAGTACCTCATTGATGCCCAGACTTGAATTGATAGATCTGTTCGAAGTACATCCCATTCAGCATTTTTGCCACCCTCAGTGATTTCTTGAAGTGGTATTCAACATGAAGGTCTACTGAGTCACTAGCTGAGAGTGGGCTGGTACATGGTAATCAGCAGGAGATTTTGTTGCCAGTGTTTGACCCAATGCGATGAGACTTCATGGAGTTGAGAGTCAATATTGAGGACTCTCAAGCCAACTGCTTCGTGACTGTGCCACACTGTTTTACACATCTCAATCTTAACATTCAGGCCTTTCAGTAGATGATGTGGTGAGTCTAAAGCAATCAAAGAGCAGTCGAGTTCAGAACATGTGAAATGTAAATTTTGTTAAATTTATTCATGCAAAGGATATGAACTTGGTTGATGAGGCCAGCATTTATTGCCAATCCCTAGATGTCCTTGAGGAGGTGGTTGTGCCTTTTTGAATTGCTGCTGCCCATTTACTGAATGGACACCCATAGTGCAGTTAGGGAGCATGTTTCAACATTTTGACCCAATGACACTGAAGGAATGGTGACATATTTCCAAGTAAGGATGGTGTGTGATTTGGAGGGGAATTTGGACATGGTGGTACTCCCATGTATCTACTGTCCATATCCTTTTAGATGGAAGAATTTGTAGTTTGAAGAGTTCTGAGTGTGATTGTTGCAAGTGACCAGTGAGGGTGATCAGTGCGAGTGATTTATGAGAATACCTTTCTAATAGTTAAGGAAGGCTGTCAGCCAGTATCTGGCTCGACTGAAACACAATGAATTTATACATGATAATGGAAATAAGTTGATGCAAATAATAAAATTCATGCCAAGTCACTTGGTCCCACATTGACCTGACAAAGCCTACTTATCAGTTAGCTCTCTCATTCAGCAGCCGAAATCTCTGACACCTTGTCTCTATGAACTATTAAGAAGAAAAATAAAGATTTATCTAGAGCTTCATTATTTAAACACAAAACATAGAACAGGTGTAACAATAGGAACAGGCCCTTTGGTCCACCATGGCTGTGCCAACTATGATGCCATTCTATACTAATCTGCACATCGTCCGTAGCCCTATATTCCTTGCCTGTTCATATGTCTGTCTAAATTCTGTCAGAATCATCCAGAGAATTTCATGTCCAGAGAGTTAATTTTTGAACAGCAGGTAATTAATCAACAACTGGTGTCAAAGGAAACAAGGACATGTCACCTTAGGCAGATCATCAGCCAAGTGATAAATGATCTCTCAATTTTGTCAGCTGCAAAAGGATGTGTGAACGTGAGAATTCTGAAAGGGATTAGTGATCAGGATTCATGAACATTTCTACTCAGAAGGTATTGCCCATTTTTAAGTGCATGGTGAATAAACAATTCCGTGTTAGAGTCCACCATTCAGATGAGTTCAATCCTCACCTTTGGTGTGGAGCACCAGTAACATTGAGCTACCTAATACCTCTATCTATTAATGCTTGGCCGAATGGCCTCCTTTATGCTTTAATAATTGTGTGTTTCCCTCCTCAGTAACACACTTACACATGCTCCCATGGTATGTCTATTTAATTTCTGCTCTGAAACAGGATTTGACGGGGAAAATGTTTAAACTGTAGGTTTGCAATTCAGTGCATGTAATGGCACCTAACATCTTTCACCTCTCACTGCATGTGCATGCCAGAGCAAGGGACCTCAAATCTGTTCGGTGAAGCTAATACTCTCGTGATTAATCTTGTCTTGAATGTTCGTCAGTCTCAACACATTATTTTTCTGCTCATTTTGAATGAAACTTCTTTTTTGCAAAACATTCCAGTGTGTGGGAAGCCGAGAATAAAACCATCATCAATCCAACCTAAAATAGCACAGGGCAGAGCTGTATCAAAAGGAGCCTTACCATGGATCACAATGTTGTCGAAAACTGGCATTCCTTTCTGTGGTGGGTCATTAATTGGTGAGTGAAACAAACTTTGTTGCATTATTTTGAGCATTCTCTCTGCAGGAACAGACTGGTCAGACACAAATCAATGGACATAGATTGCCATTCAGTAACCTGACCCTAGAGTCTCCTGAATGTGTACAGACCCTCATGTTTGCTCTGCATTCAATAAGATCATGGCTGATCTGAATTTGGCCTCAACTCCTCTTTCCTGCCTACCCCAAAACCCTTTGAACTCCCTTGTTAGTCAAGACTCTATCAACCTCTGCCTTAAAAGTATTCAATAACCTCAACTCCACTGCTACCTGGCGAAGAGAATTCTGAAGATTCACAACTTTCTGAGAAAAAAAAATGTTCTCCTTCATGTTAAATGAGAGACCCTTTATTTTTAAATTGTCTCTGAGTTCTAGCTTCTCCCACAAGGAGAAACATTCTTTCAGCCTCCACTCTGTTGAAGCCTCTCAGCATCTTATATGCTTAAATAAGATCATCTTGCATCCTCCTAAACTCCAACAGACACAGGGCCAAACCTGTCCAACCTTTCCTCGTAAGATAACCTCCCTAATGCCAGGAATCAGGCAGGAGAACATTCTCTGAACTGCTTCTATCACATTTATATCTTAAATTAGGAGACCAAAATTGTATGCTGTTCTTAAGATATGGTTCATCTGTACACAACTGCAGCACACATTCCTGCTTTTATATTCCATTCTTCTTGAAATAAAGGACAACATTACATTTGCTTTCCAAATTACTTTCTTTCCATGTTTAGCAACTTATTCATGTACCAGGACACCAGATCCCTCTGTAAAACAGGATTCTGATATTACTCCTTATTTAAATAGTACACTGCTTTCATATTCTTCCTGCCAAATGAACATATTCACATATTCCTTCATCATATTCCATTTGGCAAATGTTTGCCAACTCACTTAACCTGTCTACATTCCTTTGCAGATTATTTGGCTGAGATTTTCTCCATATTGGAGAGTGATTCCATTACAATGAAAATGTTGCAAGATGTCAGAAATCCCAAGTCACATCCCTGGACCCAGCAATTCACATTTCTGTGGACTGGGATTGGGAAAGGGCTGTGATTCATTTTGTGTGGTTCCTGAATGCAGATGGTCATATATGTGTCCAACATTCTTCATTGAAATGGAAGTTTGGAGTTCTTGGGGTCTAAAACCTGGAATATAGAGGTTAGAACTGATAAAAACATGTCTGTTCTCATTGCATTTCTTTTGGATGGCCATGGTAATCTGTCTGGAGAGTTGAAGATTGCCCCCAACCCCCTAGGATAGATCCCAAAATATGTTGGATGAGAGATTGTCAGGGATCCTTTGGGGAGGGAGATCTGGTGACCTTTGAGACTACTAAATGTGGAGACAATTGTGTGAGAGTGACCAGTGAGAGCGACTGGTGTGTAAAGGGTGCACAAACGCTCTGGAAGAGTCCAACTTCTCAAAACCTGCAGAAAACTGTCCAGAAAGATAAACAAGCATGAGGATTGCCCTGAGACAGGAAGTCAGCAGCACCCAAAGGAGTGTGTGTGTGGACAACCCTAAAACAGGCAATCGACAGCACCCAGAGGAGCATGTGTGTGTGGAGAACCCTGATTCAGGCAGTCATCAGCACTTAGTGAAGCATGTGTGTGTGGTGAACCCCGAGACAGACAGTTGATAGCGAGTGAATGGAGGAATGAGCCAAGCAGTCAACAGCAGCTACAGGAGAAGGTGAGAGGAGGGCACCACAACAGGCAGTCATTCGTACGTAGAGGAGAAGGTAAAAGGAGGGCACCACAACAGGCAGTCAGCAGCACCTACAGGTGAAGGTGGGAGGAGGACAGCTGGCAGTTGGTAGCCTCGAGCAATTGATTCTTACTCTACTTCAGAAGAAGAAGAGTTACTTGTTGAAAATCTAGTAAGTGATAAGCTTATTAAAATATATTAGCACATAGGTGTATTTCAAAGTGAGACAATTAAATAGTTACTGTGAGCACGTTAAGTATGGTAGGACAGGTGATATATCAAGGCTGCAGCATGTGAGAGCTCCTTGGTACAGAATGTATTCACATTACATTACCATTATCTGGAGCAAACATGTCTGCAGTAAGTGTTTGAAGTTCAAGCAGATTTGGCTTCAATTTTATGAACTGGAGGCTGAATTGCATACACTGTGACACATCAGGCAGGGGAAATCTTACCTGGATTCTTTGTCCCAGGAGGCAGTCACATCTCATAACGTAGGGTCTTCAAATTTGGTCAGTGTTCAGGGATGAGAGGGTTTTATTGTCAGAGAGATGGGTAAGGAGGCAGGACCCTTAGCCTTTGCAATTATCCAACATGTGTGAGGTTCTCTAGGCTTGTCTAGATGAGAGTGGGGGCTGCGGGGGAAATGAACTGAACGACAATGGCACCATGGTTAAGGAAGTCACTCAGGTGAGGGTACAGAGGGAATGTGTTGGTTTAGGAGACATACAGTAGGAGGAATTGACACCATTCTCTGTAACAAAGAGCATGAGTCCTGGCAGCTGTGTACACCAAAAAGTGTATTCACATTACATTATTGAACCATGTCATAGTAGTATTTCTTAAATCTTTAATTTGTTCCAACATTTTACATTCAGGACAATGCATCTGCAATTACTTTGTCTTTTCCAATAACATAAATAATATTTACATTAAGCGATAGTAACAAAAGACTCCATATGAATACTCTCACATTCCAACTTTTAAACTTCTCAATGAAGTTTGGTGGATTATAATAGTGTGCATTAGGTTTTCCTTGTTTTTGTGTCTGATATAGTCTTCAGAGTCTTGAAGAGCCAACAACATTTCCAAAGTCTCTTTTTCCATGGTAGGGTACTTCTCTTAAATGTACTGAATCTCTGTAATCACCACAACTTGTTTTATCAGTCCTGACTCCCCTGTGCACATCATCTTTAGCTAATGTAGCACATCCAGGTGTATCTCTACAGATTACTCATACTTTCTCAGCAGTCTTACAAGATTCTCCCACTGTCTTTTCTCTAAATATAAGAGCACAGTTTCTAACTGTCTCAATATTTCTGTATAGCTAATGGAATTGTAGGAGGTTCACTTTGAACGTGTCTACCTCTCTTTCTGCTTCACTTCTATTGTGTCTGTCACCCTCCCCTACTCTTAACACCTGACACATTTGCTTCCCCTTATCTTCCCTAGGATGATACCTTTTCAATAAATTTATGTGAGATAACCGATTGTTTTTCCCACGATCAGAAGTATTCATCACATCAGCTACATTACTAACCACTCTACGTTACTTAATATGGGCCACTAAATTTCATTGTCAGAAGTTCATTTTGTAATGGCAGGAACACTAATACTTCATCTCCTGATTGAAATGTTCTGGTTGATGAATATTTATATGTAGTTTCATTTTTGTCTCTGAAACTTTCAAACGTTCTTGTGCTTCCTACATGCTCCTGTGAGTCTCTTTACAAATACGGACAGGTATTCCAACATTGAGGATGCATCTTTTCCATCCAAGAACTTCTCCCTAATCAATTTTAATGGATTTCTAATCACATGACTATAAGCAAATTCAAATAGACTAAATCCAGTAGATTTATTTGGGGAATCTCTGGAAATAAATAATAAGATATCTAGTCCTTTATCCCAATCTTGTGGATATTCATGACAGTATACCATAATCATGGTTTTGAGATGGTTTTGTTTCAGATCCTCAGTTTTTGCAGTTTTTTGTTTTATTATCATGGTTCTGACAGTCTGATGGTATCACTCCAAAGCTCCCCTGTGTTTGCAGATGATACACGGATGATTACAATTGATTTAAACCCAAAGTACTAATGATTTCCTGGAAAGCTTCAGACATAAGGCTGGAACCCTGATCAAACAATATCTCAATTGGAAAAAAAAAGCTATTAACTTTTCAACTACTACCTTACCCTACAGAAATAGTTTCTGAGAATTGAGTTGTCTTATTCATAATTATAAGGATATAGTGATGTCCTGCTTTTATTTTGGTAATTGTCCTGCACAATCCATTAGTACTCAACTAAATGGTTCTTCAAAAACCAGTATGGGTTTCAAAGTTGGTTAACTATATGCTGAGGTTTTCCTACTTCCTGATATGTATAACACATTTTACTAAATGGCACTACCTGCTATGAAGTCTTGGCCATGCCTGTTTATTGATGCCAGTACTTTCCATATTCCTATATGCCCTGCTACAGGTACTTCACACGCTATCCTTAATTTCTCCTTATGATACCTGGGTGATATCACTATATGATGAATAACCATCCAATCTTCATCTGCAGGTCTTTGAGAATGTCTCCACTTCCTCATCAGAACTCTACTTTTAATATAACATCACTTTGGAGCTCCCTCAGTCTTAGCCTCAGTATGAACTGTCTGTCAGGGTTTGGTCACCCATCAGCTGAGGCTGACCTCACATGTTGGTCAGAAGAATTGGTTATTGTCAATCCTGAACAATGACAAGACGTTATACTACACTGGACATTAGGAGAATAGTACTCGCTTAGACAGGGTTCTAACATGGATGTCGCTAAGAACTAGTAGTCTGTGTAGTTTGATTTTAGTAGCTGCTGTTCCTGTGATAGTTGCTTAGACAGGAGCTGATGTAAAATGGCAATATAATGACAAATGTGAGCTTGCACTTCCAGTGAAGTGTGACCTGTGCCATCTATGTACCCTCAGAAGCTTCTCTTTTCCACTTCCCTCCCACAATATGGACTATGAAGGGCTATTTGTGGCTGGCAGTGATTGACCTGGTACACAGGTGGGCTTTAAATATGGTATTAGCAATAGAAATCCCGGAGTGTCGTGGAAGTGTCAACTACTTCTGTTACTGGTGAGTGCATGATAATGTCATGGTCATGGCTCCACAGGAACATGGTGCATTCACGCCAAACAGAACAGCAGATAATTTTGTGAGAAGACTTGCTAGAGCCCAAGGAGAGAAAATGACACTCTATGACACTCCCAAAATTGACAGCCATTTTTTTGGTATAAATCAGTTGATATTCTCATACATATCTATAAGGATGGAGAATTAGAAGCAGCTTGATGGTGTCAGAATGAGGCAATGAGTTTTGCTGAGCATTTTGTTGCTGCATGGTACTGTGTGCCAGGATAAAAAGTTTGATATTTTTCACAATAACAAAAATATAAGTAATTCCTTATATTTGTCGCACCTAATCCTCTATTTCTGCTTGTTCTGTAGGGCAGAAGTGGATCATAACTGCAGCCCATTGTCTTCATCCTCCATATGACCCTGACAATCCAAATCTGAGCAACTTCCAACACATTAACGTCACATCGTTTAAAGTTATTTTAGGTTAGTATTTACACATTGTAAGGCCTAATCCTATCTCTATATGACAAGGTGGCTCAGACGAGCACCAGTGAGCGTCATGGGCTACTGCCTAGTGTTATCTGCAGTAAAGTGAGGAAGAGAGATAATTTTAATATTCTTACACAGTTTGAGTAGGTTATTCTAAATTATAACAAATATTAAATGTTTCAGGAATTTGGTGAAATAACAGCAAAGAAATATTGAATCATCTGGAGACAGATTTTCTGCATTGGCATATTAATTGGGCATGCCAGATCAAGGCACGATACCAGCTGCTGCTCATGATGGATGTTGCTGCCAGCGTCCTCTCTTCATTTTGGAAACGACAGTGCCTGCTTGGTCCTGTGTGGTACAGGAAAGCCACTTCCTGGTTTAACTAGAACAGTTTCTTATAGTTAACAACTAGTTACAAGTTACTTTGATCTGATAGACATTGTTACATAGACTTTAAGGAGGATCAGATGTCAATTGTCCCTCCTTTGAATCTTAGAATCCCTACAGAGTGGAAACAGGCCATTCAGCCCAACAAGCCCACACCGCCCCTCTGAAGTGCATCCCACCCAGACCCATTCCCCTACATTTCCCATGTCTAACCCACCTAATCTAAACATTCCTGGGCACTATGGGCAATTTAGCATAGCCAGTCCACCTACCCTGCATATCTTTGGACTGTGGGAAGAAACTGGAGCACCCGGAGGAAACCCACACAGACACGGGGAGAACGTGCAAACTCCACATAGACAGTCACCCGAGGTGGGAATCGAACCTGGGTCCCTGGTGCGGTGAGGCAGCAGTGCTAATCACTGAGCCACCGTGCCACTATCATGAGATCCTAAGCTGTTTAGCTCACAATACCTTAAACCATTACAGTGTCAGACAATCTAACAGGTGATGACATACTTATATACTTATAAATGTGAGCTTGTAGTTTCAAGAGATAGGCACTGCTTATAGTGCTCCTCGGTATTAATCCTTTCAGAAGCATATATGCGTTCTAACTAAAAGGCACTAGTTAGACCACACCTAGAATACTGTGAACATTTTTGGTCTCCTTTTCAAAGGAAAGATATACTGGCATTGGAAGCACTCCAGAGAAGGTTCACTAGGTTGATCCTCGAAATGGAAAGATTTTCTTATGAGGAACGGTTAAGTACTTTGGTCAAAACTTTATCTCTTTATTCTTAAGGAGCCTTCAATAATAACTTGAGTAAACTAACCTTTAATCCGGTTAAACAAATGTTTGACTGCTGATCTGCTTTAACTTGAATCATACAAATAAAAGAGGAGGCTTAATAAACAATGTGAATCAAAATCACTGACCACATGGCGTGCCTATGGTATCTGCGACCTTGGATAGGTCATTGAAGATGATAGGACAGGTTGAAAGTATGCAACATCCGAGGTTTTATGAAAATGGGCATAGCATACAAAAGCAAAGGCAGTTAACTACATATATTTCAGTCTGACTGGTGCTGTTTCTAGCATGCCGTCGTGCATTCTCCATTGATCCAGGGTTGAAACCCTTACTTGATGGTAATAGTGGATTGGAAAATATACCAGACGTCAATATTACATTCTGTAGTAGAATACAATTTCACTGCTTCTGATGGCCAACAGCAACTTATGATTTTGCTCAGTACTGAGTTACTAGATCTGTACAATGTCTGTCCGTTTAGCACAGTGATATCCTCGATGTGAAGACAGAACTTTGTCTTTGAAAGAATTGTGCGGTGGTCACTCATACTGTCATGGACAGTAGACTGGTGAGAACGAGGTCCAGTATGTTTTTCTCTGTTGTTGGTTGTCTCAGCACCTGCCGTAGACCCACTCTAGCAGCTGTGACCTTTAGGACTCAATCAGCTTGGTCAGTTGTAATGCTGCCCGGCCACTCTTGGTGATGGATATTGAAGGCCCCACCCAGAATGCATTCTGCAATCATGCCACATTCAGTGCTTCCTGAAGTGTTGTTCAACATGAAGGAACACTGGTTCATCAGTTCATGAAGGCTGTTCATAATAATCAGGAGAAGGTTTCCTTGCCCATGTTTGATCTGATGTAATGAGCCTTCATTGGGTCTGGAGTCAATGTTGAGGTTTCCCAGGGCATCTACCAACCAACTGAATACCACTGTGCCACAACCTCTACTGGTTCTGTACTATTGGCAGAACAGAACATATTCAAGGATAGTAATGGTGATGTCTGGAACATTGTCTGCAAGGTACAATTCCATAAGTCTTTGAGAGAGCTCTCCCAGTTTTGTCACAACCTTCCAGATGGTTCAGGATCAGAAGGATTGGGGAAAAACATTTGTCATTTCCATTGCCTAATTGGATGCCAGGTGATCCATCCTATTCCCTTCCTTTCTTTAGACTTTGTAGTGGTTTTACTCAACGAAGTTATTTGCTAGGCCATTTCAGAGGGTAGTTAAGAGTCAACCACCATTGTTGTGGGTCTGGAAACACTTGAAGGCCAGGCCAGGTAAGGACAGCAGATTTCCTTTCATAAAGGACATTAATGAACCAGATCTTGAAAAAATTTGTTCTGAAATTTTGATTTACATATAAACTATAATTTTCTTTTAGAGAGAGTAGGGAATATTGCACATTAATTGTGTTAAATCGTATGCTGATATGGGAATTAACTAGGGATTCACTTGTGGTCCAATAACTGGGAATCAAACAAAAAAAGTAGTTGCTGGGCTAGGTGTATTCTTGTGCTAAGTAATAAATACTTATAAAATTGTGTAAAGATTAGCTGAAGGTCTATCCTTCACCATTTGGTTTTTTTAGAATACTAAGCAGTATTCAGTTTAATAAATAGTAAGATTTAAGAAAAGAGTTATTCAAAACCATTCAAAATTTTTCTATTAATCCCTCTACAACCAAAAATTCCAGGTTAGTTTAATTTTTTGGAGCCTCCTCAAAAGCCCATAAATGAGAATAATTAGTGGAAATTCACCTTGGTGAGCATTTGCGTTGGAAGTTTTGTCAGGTTTCTGACTGGGGCTTCCTTGTAGCACAAATGATTCCAAAATCAATTTGTGCTTCATGTTCTGTGATCAATTTGCTGATTTTGCTGAGATTGGGAGAATTGTAGTAGGAAAAACCAGCACAATCAAGTGGAAATTTCAGAACGTGACTTACTTCAGATTGGGACCCATGGATTGTGCTTATTTTCTCTGACCTCCCGGCCTCTCTGTTTCAGGGAGGCAGAAAACGTTGAGAAAAGAAGAAACAGAACAAGTGTTTCGTGCTAAAAGAATTATCTCTCACCCCTGTTACAATGGCTCAACCTTTGAATTTGACATTGCGTTGTTGGAACTCCCACATAAAGTGACAATAACAGACTATGTGATGCCAATCTGTCTACCAGAGAACTCCTTCTCAACTTTACATACAGGTACATTGGGAATATCTTAGAAATAAACCCAACACCATTGCAGTTGTGTTCAATTCCCTCTTGGCACAATTGTCTGATGTCCAACAGTTGGGATAGTGATCAGGAGGGAACTCATCCTGGCCTGTATGGGAGGGCCCCTATCCTGTTCCATCTAATTTAGCAGGGACGGGGGACAACCAGTAAACTTCTGGAGGTCAAATTTTAGACCACATATAGTTGGGACAGCCAACCCACTATGTCCCTCTCCTGGGCGACAGTCGCTGGTGGCTGTGACCCTTTGGAGGCTGACTGTCTGGAAGGGCATTGCTGGAGGCAAACAGAAACGGAAAGCTCAGCTAGCTGAGAAGAGGGCTCAGAGAAAACAGAGGCCAGAGGTGAGTTATGTACCCTCTCAGCCCACTGTCTCCCTCAGAGACTGCCATGCCAGATTGGGGCTCCTGAACCACACCAGATGATGCTGAACCCAGAAACACAAACAATGTTGCTGAAAAAGCTCAGCAGGTCTGGCAGCATCTGTGAAGGAGAAAACCGAGTTAACATTTCGGGTCCAGTGACCCTTCCTCAGAACCCAGGGTTGACCACAATGGCACAAACCATCATCTCATGAAACACAGGGCTGCCACTCTGCCGTTATTACCTTCAAGAAGTTAATGAAAATGGATCATTGATTTAAAGTTGTCACTGAGGCTGTGCAAACCTAGATGATAAGGTTTATTTATACAGAGGGTTAATGGGGTATGGAATTAGGGGAGGGAGACCTTGTTAAGCATGTTCAAGAAACAGATAATTCTGTGGATGTAACAAAAACAGAAATTGTTGGGAAAACTCAGCACATCTGGCAGTATCTATAGAGAGAAAGCAGAGTTAATGTTTTGGGTCCAGTGACCCTTCTTCAGAGCGGGTATTCTGTGAATGTGTTTGAATTTAGATTATTTAGAGTTGCGGCACAAGCGATTAATCCACAGGACTGTAACAATACTGCCCTGGAACTATATCAGCTGTTCCTTCTGGCTGCTGAGTCAAAATCTAGAACTCCCTCCCTAACAGCACTGTGACTGTACCTACACCACATGGGCTGAAGCAGTTAAGAAGGCAGCTATTAGCAATTAGAGATGGGTGACAAATATTGAGTCAGTGACACCAACATCCTGTGAATTAATGGATAAAAGGAAAATGAGTGCTGTGTTAATGTGATCCGTGTATTTGAAAGTTTGGATTTATTTGCTATTTTGGTCCTAACTGCTGATTACCATAGTTTGAACCTGCCTCAGGTTGTCTTATTCGATGACCTGCACGTGTTATACTGGGTGCTGAATAGATCCAGGCTTCCCTGACCAGTTTATGTGTAGCCTATTATGACCCCCATACAGAATCTAACATTTTAAAACAAATATACAAATTTCCTAGTCACATATGGGAATTACTGAAGGATAAGATCTCATGTTTTACGACTTTTATTCTAACAAACTAAAATCAATATAAGACAAACACTAAATGGACACATAATACACCTAACCAAAGAAAAGATACTTTTGCATTAGTTGTCTAACAATCGACGTGTATCACAACTGCCAGGTGTGTCCAGCACGTGGTGAGTGAACAAGTGATTAATATGGCTTATGTAGCTCCCTTTTAATTTGCAATGATTAATTTGAAGCAGATCAGCAATCAATCATTTGTTTAACAGGTTAAAAGTTTGTTTATTATAAGTCATTACTGAAGGTACGTTAAGGATAAAGAGATAAAGTGAGAACAAGAAATTACTGTTATCAAGATTGGAAAAGTAGCAAGAAGACAAAAGAATAGTTAGAAGAAAAACCTCTGAATAAGTTTCCGTGGTATAACCCTGGGGCTTGTTGCTTGTGCTCCCCATCCCTGAAGCAAATGGATCAAAGCTTGAAGTCAGATCCAGCAGCTGTGATGGTTTATGTAGTTGGGTTAGTTGATGTTTCCTTGTAAAAGTAGATCTATAGGACAGAAGAAAATTCCTGGCTTCAGGTCTGTAAGCTGCACATTTACTTTACAGAAGACCAACAAGTGTTTCAAGATCTTGTTCTCTGTCTTGCCTTTTCTGTCTGCCTAGAGAGGTGTATTCTTCCTGATGGTACAATATGCAAAAATGTTCTTTGTTTAAGCAGCTTGTCGTTTAAATCATTCTTAATGGCCACTGTAACCAGGTGACCCATGCAATAAACTAAGTATTGTTCCATGTAAAGCATTGGCATCCTGGACACAGCTCAGCTCCCACCAATGGCTTTGCTCTATTGAACTTAAAATTCTCATTCTCACAATGAGTCAAGGAATTTCATTAACTCCTGAACAAGAAATGTTTTATCGTATCTTTCTACAGTGATACAGTCAGGTGCCTTATTGCAGCCAAGTTTCCTTGCCCAGACTGGATAGATTATCCTTTTCTTAACAAATAGTGGCAGCCTTTAACTACCTTTTAATGTGGAGATTAAAATGTACTTCCTAGTTTGTTGATGGTACAGAATTAGGCAGAAGCATCAGTTGTGGAGGATGCTTCAATGGGATTTGGAGAGACTAAGCCGGAGAATATAAATATGGAAGATGGAATACAAGGTGGAAAAATGTGACGTTTTCCACTTTGGTAAGGAAAAAATCAGAAATACAAAGTATTTCTGAAATCATGAGTGTTGAACTTTAAACGTACTTGATAAGTTGATGAGTCACAGAAAGTTAACATGAGGTAAACAAGCAATTAAGAAGGCAAATGCCACAATAGGCTTTCTTGCAAGAAGATTTGATAAAGGAATAAAGATTTTTTTACTGCATTTGTATAAAATAAAAACATAAAGTGCTGGAGAGACTCACCAGGGAGACTCATCAGGTCTGGCAGCATTTGTGGAGACAGAAACAGAGTTAAGGTTTCGAGTCCAGTATGACTTCACTCATGACATTCCTTCCTGATTATTGGCAAAAATTAAAATGTACAGTGGAAGCAGAGTTGTTGTATATTTTCAAAGTAGAGGTGAATAGATTCTGAGTAAGCAAAGGGGTATAAGATTATCAGGGAGGGGGAATTTCTGATTTTAAGTTACAATCAGTTCAGCCATGATCATATCAAATGATGCAACAGGCTCGAGTGGCTGATTGGCTTACTCTTGCTCCTTGTTTGTATACTCAGATGTATTTCCTTCTCAATCAGGCGTTTACTGCTGGGAGACAGCATTAGCACAAGATGGAGTGAGCAATACGTCATGCAGCACTTATGAGCACTAGCACCTCAAAGAAGTGCCAATCAGTTCCTTAAAGCTTGTCCGGACAGCCATTCTACGCACAAGCTTCCGTTCTTTCTCAAGATAACATCTTGAACTAAATGTGGACTAAACCGTCATTTAGCTTATGTCCCCAAATTTGATATAAGAGGCCATTTGTTTTTTGCATTTATTCATGAGATGTAAGCATCATTGGCTGGACCAGGGTTCATTCCCGATTCCTCACTGCCCTAGAGAAGGTGATGGTGAGGTGTCTTCATGAACTGTTGCACACCATTTGGTGAAGGTACCTGACAACGCTGTTGGGGAGGGAGTTAAAAGATTTTGATTCAGCGACACTAAAGGAACGGTGATATATTTCCAAGGCTAGACAGTGCATGACTTGGAGAGGTAACTTTACAGTGGTGGTGTTCCCATGTATCTTCAGCTCTTGTCCTTCTAGATGGTAGTGGCCATATGTTTGGAAGTTGCTGTCGAAGGAACTTTGGTGAATTTCTGCAGTGCATCTTGTAGATAGTCCACACTGCTGCTGCGACCATCAGTGGTGGTGGATAAAAAGCCAATCAAGTGGTCTGCTTTGATGTAAATGGTTCTGGGCTTTTTGATTGTTGTTAATGCAATAATCCAGTCCAGCTATGGTGGAGAAATTATCTAATCAACCTGCTCAGTTATTAGAGCACATTCTGGAGCAAGTGGGACTTGAACCCAAGCATCTTTGCTCATAGGTAAGGACACTACCACTGAGCCAAAGATGCTCCCAGATATGTGGGATTAGAATTTGGCTGCAGAGCCTGGAGGCAGTTTGCTAGTGGTCTCCCCAGCGTATTGAGCCATTACTGACAATTCCAAACAACTCAGCCTGATACTCCGAACATCAAGCATTGAGCAACTAGCTGGTCTACCCTCCCATCATTCATTCATTCCACCAAATATGACCTTCTGGGGATTATATGCCACTCTGAACTGTGGCCAACATTCTTCACAGCACCCAAAGACTATAAAGGACCTACTGCAGTCCTAGTACTGCATTTGTTAAAATGTTCTCAACTCTCATTCGGGATTAATGCTGAAACTGTCCCAACTTGTATGGTCTAATAGGAAATGTCCTTGACGTTGTTGTGTTTTGAATACTAACATTTTCCATTGTTTTGTTTTAAAGATGATATGGTGATAGTCAGTGGATGGGGAAAACAGTTCCTGCATTCAATTCCCGAAACTCTGATGGAGGTAAGTTTGCCATTGACAAGTTACTAAACACGCAGAAAATTCTCTGCAGCACTCCAACTTTGTGCAGCTCTCATTATTTGACCCTTGTCGTGTGTGACCGTCAATTGCAAATTCCTGTCCAAGTCACTCACTATCCTGACTTGGAAATGTGTCACCTTCCTTCAGTGTCACTGGGTCAAAGTCCTGGAACTCCCTCTCTGATAGTGTTGTGGATCCAACTACATTAAACAGACATTTTTTTATTCATTCACGGGATGAGGGGGTCATTGGCCAGGCAGCATTTATTGCCCATCCCTTATCGCCCAGAGGACAGTTAAGAGTCAACTACACTGCTACAGGTCTGGAGTCACATGTAGTCCAGAACAGGTAAGGATTTGAGCCTGGATCCTCAGAACATTATCTGGGTCTCTGGATTAACAGTCCAGCGATAATACCACTAGGCCATCGCCTCCCCGTTCTAGAAAGCGTGGCTAGCACAAATTGTTAACTTACAACTCACTATAAACTAAATTCCAACCAGTTTTAAAAAGTTCCCATTTGCAAAAAGAGGCAAGACACAAATATTATGGGTGGGAAAGAAACAAAAATAATAGCCAGTGAAGTATCCAGTATCAAGCACGGTCCAAATTGCAGGCATCAATAAGATGTTTTCCTTTAGTTTTTCAGTTGCTTTTAACTCTTTGATGAGGTCATGAGGTGACACAGCCACTAATTCATGACTTTCCACTCAATGTTTGGGGTTTTAACCTTTCAGTATCTCTGAAAGCATTTTTTCCCTTTTTTAGTTTAAGAAGGTAATTTGTAGACGGAAATGGACAGTAGCTAGCTGCTCGGGATTTTGTTTTACTTCTCCACTTACAGGAAGAAGAAATAGATGTTTTCTCCTTCGCAGGCTGGATGCTGCTGTTGTATTGTCCAAACACAATACTGTAGCCTGATCTCCAAGAACCAATCAAGAAGTTGTTACTATACTCAGTACTCCTTACCACACACAACTGATCGTGTTGAAAAACAAGTCAAAATTTTGACACAGGGCAGAAATGCCCCTGGACACACACTCACAGAGCTGAAGAATACAACAAACACTCCCTGTGCTTAAATAAGACCACCTTGTAAATACAACGCGCAATGAATTCCAGTAAGGGAGATAGCAAGAATTGCAGATGCTGGAGTCAGAGACAATATAGTGTACAGCTGAAGGGACACAGTAGGTCAGGCAGCATCAGAGGAGCAGGAGAGTTGCATTTCGGGTTGGGACTCTTCTTCAGGACTTCACCAGTCCTGCAGACGGGTCCCGACCCAAAACCTCCTGCTCCTCTGATGCTGCCTGACCTGCTGTGTTCCTGCAGCTCCACACTGTACTGACTCTGAATTCCAGTAACTCATTTTTAAACAAAGCTATGTCTTCATCTACAGTTTCTTGGTTTAAAGCTGTATCTATTCCTATTTTTAAATGCACAGTCAAAGAATAAAAGTATTTTTTCCATAAATCATCTATCATTTGTATACAAAATAGTAATTTTTATAATTAAACTTGTGAACACACAATTCTGCATTCCTTGCATTCTCACCAGCTGGAGAAACAAACAGGCTTGACTTGATTTCTGTGAATTTCCAGACTATTATAATAATTTTTGAACATTACTGCCTCATCAATATTTAGCAGATGTTTCTGGATTGAGTCAGACATATGGGTGAACCTACTGCAACATAAACCTGTTCTAATCAGGCCTCCTACAAGCCAAAAACCTCTGTGAAGCATGCTGCATCATTTATCACTGCAGATGAAATCCTGATTTTTTTCATTCCTTGTGTATCACAACTGGACTACACCAGAACCAACAAAACAAAGATTTCGTTTTTGTCACCCTTGCATCCATTTCCAGGTACTGCTGCCTACCGGTAAAAAGCTCAATGTTGTCTTCTTTGGAAGGAGTAATCGTTGAAGGTGATGGATGGGGGTGCCACGAATTGTCACAACTCTCTGGAGTATTGCATTGGAAATCAAGTCCTGTTATTCCCAGAATCTTCACAAAAGCAAAAGTTTTTAAAAGAAATATGCAAAATTCATAAACTACTTGATTTGCAGACCCAGACTGATAGAAAGCATGGTCCAGATTTCCGTACTTAATACAAAATCACTATTTATTACAGGTCTTTATATTTGCTACTGTAAATAACTAAAGTAAATTAAGCGAAGTCTACAAATTAAAACTGTAAATCTCTTATAAACTCCTCCCTACACACATACAGACATGCAAATAAAAACAGGGGAAAAATGTGGGCAGAGGGAACACTGGGAAAACATTTCAATAATCTTTGTTCATAAAATCTGTTGGGTTTTTGCTAATCTGAAGGTTTCTTCTCAAACTTCCTTATTCCAAATCCTTCTATTGGTTTGCAAAAGGCACAGGGTGGCTGTTTCACTTGTGAAATATCTCTGACATATCCAATTCAAGTTACAACTTATAGCATATGCTAACAATAAGTAGGAGCCAAATTAAGCCATTTCAGCCCATTGAGTCTTCTCTGCCATTCAATGAGATCATGACTGATCTGATAATTCTCAACCACTTTCCTACATTTCCCTATAATCCTTGATTCCCTTACTGATTAAAAATTTGTGTATCCCAGCCTTGAGTATACTTAATAACGCAGCATCGGCAGTAAGGAATTCCACAGATTTACTAACCTCTGAGAGAAGAAATTCCTTCCTTACCTCTGCTTTAACTGTGTGCTCTTTTATTCTGAGACTGTGCTATCTGGTATTAGATTCTCCTACAAGGAAACAAAATTTCTGCACCAACCTGATAAGTCCCTTAAGAGTTTTCGTTGTTTCGATAGGTTGCCTCTCATTCTTCTACTTTCCAACAAGTACAGGCCCAATCTACTCAACCTCTCCTCATAAGACAGTCCCTTCATACCTGGTATCAACCTAGTGAACCTTCTCTGGACTGCCTCCTATGCTAGTATATCTTTCCTTAGATAAGGGGTCCAAATTTGTTCACAATAGTCCAGCTGTGATCTGATTAGTGGTTTATACAGTTTTAGCAAAACCTTTCTACTTTTATACTCCATTCCCTTTGAAATGAGGCCAACATTCAATTTCCCTTCCGTTGTACCTGCTGAGCTTGGATGCTAACTTTTTGTGATTCATGGATGAGGACTCCTAAATCCCTCTGTTCTGTAGCTTTCTGTTGTCGTTCTCTATTTAAATAAAATTAAGTTCTTATATTCTTCCCTTCAAAGTGCATAACCTCACATTTTCCCACATTATATTCCATGTGCCAAGTTCTTTTTCCCACCAGCTTAACATGTCTAGATCCCTCTGCAGATTCTTTGTGTAATCCTCACTAGTTGTTTTCCCGTCTATTTTTGTGTCATCTGCAAGATTGGTGATAGTACATTAACGTCCTTCATCCAACTTGGCGGAAAATTTTCATGCAAAGTAACTGAGTTTCTGTCTTACCTCTGGTAAAGTTAGAGCAACAGAACTGTTCGCTTATGTCTTATAAATAATTGTCATCCCTAGCACTAATCCACTTAAGATATGCAAATTTCCTTCAGTTTAAAGTGGTTTACTGCAGAGAACTGACAGCCAGTATATTGTGGCTTGTGCAGATCTGCTGGTTCCTCTTCTGATCTCACTAGCTTCTCTCTGTATACAAACCTTTGTCATTGATAATTGGTCCCTAGTTTACAAACCAATCAGCTTCACTTGTAAACACCCCATCAGCTCTAATTCAACAATTAATTCAAACTTTCCTTGCCTTCTTTTGTTTAGATTGAGATTCCTATTGTGGACCATGACAAATGCAAGAATGTTTACTCTCAGCTTGGGAGACAAGTGACAGATGATATGATCTGTGCAGGTCTGAAGCAAGGTAAGCACTGTTCCTTCCATCCATTCAGATGACATCAGATGCCACAACCATTCATTGTTATGCAGACGTGTTTGTTCGAGTGCATCTCTCAGCAATGTGCACTTGTGTATGTGTCTCATAGCACTGTGTGTGTGCCTTACATCAGTGTGTGTCACACAGCTCTATGTGTACACGTTTACGTGTTGCATACCAGGGTGCCCATCTCACAGCAGCATTTGTGTGTGTGTTTGCATCCCTTAGCATTGAGTCTGTGCATGTGTCCATTCAGACTACAGTCAGCAAAGCAGTGCCACATTATCATCAAGTAGAAGTAGAGCAATATGCCATACAGCTTACAGCATGTATAACAATTTTGGTTAGCTATGGCAACCCCACCTCCCAATTCAGTTTAGGCACCTCACATCGACCTCAGTCATCCAATTCCCGCAGCTCCTCTATGATGTTGAATTGGGTCAGGAATGACCCTGAATAAATGTCCTGACAAACCTTTAAGGTATATCTTCCACTTTCAACCCTGATAGATTCCAAAACTATGAACCTTGATCTTTCACTCCTATTTCTGTTAGAAGATATTTCGTTTCACCTGTCATCATCTTTGCAAGTTACTCATTTAATTACACGTAATCTTTGCCAACACTGAGAAACCAGGTCCATGTGTGAAGATACGGAATATTTTACGATACAGTTATCTAGAATTCCCATGTAATCAGCAATTGATGGGAGTAGACTTCAAAATCATAACAGGTTTAGAAGCTGTTCCTATTTGGGGTAGGGGTGAGAACCAGAGGGCACAAATTTTAAGCAATGGCAAAAGAACCAAAGACTACATAAGAAGAAACTATTTTATGTAGTGAGCAGCATGAATCTAAAGGTATACCCTGCCTTAGAGTGTGATAGTTGCAGAGTTAGGTGTGGTTTGTGAAAGAGAATTGGATTAGCACCTGAAGATACGACAATAACAAAATTGGGGAAAATGTGGGGGTAATGAAACCAGATAAATCACCCTTTTCAAGATCCCTTACAGATTCAAATGGCCTCTTCCTTTGTTGTAACTATTCAGCGATTCTCAATGTGAATTTAATTGCTTTTGCTGATGTTTCCAGGTGGGAGTGATGCTTGCCAAGGAGATTCTGGGGGCCCAATGGTGGCGCTGGACAATGAAACAAATCGCTGGTTCCTGGTAGGGACAGTCTCGTGGGGAGATGGCTGTGGAGAGGACAACAGATATGGAGTTTATTCTGATGTCAGGAAAAGCCTGGAGTGGATCCACAACGTAACAAAAGTCAAGAACTTTTGATAAATTTTAGGGACTGAGAACCTCAAAAATATCAAGTTGTTTTCAATCATTTTTACTGCAACTTTGAATGAGTATTCTGTAGAACAATCTATTGTAAATATTTCATGCTTTTGGATAAATTATATAATTATAACACCGAAAATCAGCAACACATTTTTGTGTAAGTCATGAAGGTGATCAGAAACATTCACCTTGGTATGAATCTGCTCTTTTAATAAAGGAAGTATTTTAGCTGTACCATATTTTCTGATTTTCATTTATGAACCCCACCACCCAACCAACATCAATTTCACCAGCCTTCACAGCCCTCTCTATGTCAATATTGAGGGCTCCCACCAACAAATCTAGGATTAAGGAGCGTATCAACCAGAGAGCAACAAGAACAAGAGATGGCTATACTGCTATTCAGTTTCTCATCTCACCAATCCCCCACATGCCCCAGATAAGTCACTCATCTGGAGAAATGCAGTCACATCACAAGAAGAGGAACAATGGCATGGTCATGATGGAAACGGGCTGGTAACCAGATCCCATTAGGACAGCTAGTCATCAGAATGGTGATCATGCATGATATTACTGGATAATTATAAAACACATCTGATACACCAGTCTCCTTTAGGGAAGGAAATCTGCCGTTCCTTACCTGGTCTGACCTATATGTGACTCCAAACCCACAGCAATGTGGTTGACTCTGATCTGCACTTTGAAATACCCTGTCAAGCCACTCAGTTGCATTGACCTGCTACAGAAAAGCCAGGGAACATTCAAAACAAATACAACACCTGGCATTAATCAAGGCACCAGAAACAACAAAGGCACATGATGCTGAGTCAACTCTGCAAGATCTCTTCCTCGTAAGAACTACAATGCAGTTAGCTTATATCCGTCATATGGAAATGCTAGAAGCTGTTATTAAAGACGTTATGGCAGAGCACTTAAAAACGTTCAAAGTAATCAGGCTGAGTCAATGAAAGGGAAATTATGTTTACTTTATTAGTGTTCTTTGAACAAGTAACATGTACTATGGATAAAGAGGAACTGGTGCATTTCCTGTCCTTAGATTTCCAGAAAACATCTGTAAGGAGCTACATCAAAGGTTATTGTGAAATTAAAGCTCATGGTATAGAAGGTATCATGCCGGCATGGATAGAAGATTGACTGGCAAATAGGAACCAGACAGTAGGCATAAAAGGATCTTTTTCTCATTGGCACAATGTAGTGAGTGGGGTGCCACATGGATTGTTACTAGGACTTCAACTGTTTACAATTTTTTAAGTGACTTGGATGAAGAGACAGAAAATGCAGTCATTAAATTTGCTATGAGACAAAGATGGGGAGGAAATTAAGTTGTGGCGAGCAAACAAGGAGGGAGAAAAGGGATATAGGTATGGTTCACTAATGGCCTTTAGGGAAGGAAACTGCCATCCTTACCTGGTCTGGCCTATATGTGACTCCAGACCCACAGCAATGTGGTTGACTCTTAACTGCCCTCTGGGCAATTAGGGACGGGCAATAAATGCTGCCTGGTCAGCCACGCCCTCATCCTGTGAATGAATAAAGAGAAAAAAAAATACACAGAGAAGGCAGGAGAAAATCAGCAGGTCTGGCAGCATCTGTGAGAAGAGGAACAGAGTTAATGTTTCGAACCTGTTATGATTTTTCTTCAGAACTCTTAAGTGTGACTTGTTAACTGGACTGTTAGTTGTCAAGATATTTAAGAAATTACCTGCGCACAAAATCATCTACCCCTGGGAAATAATTTAGCTGGACTAAAAGTTATAGCTTTATCTTCACAGAAAGTCCATATGAAGCTAAAGAGATGGAACAGTTGCAAGAACACGTTCCAGGTATCTTTTCATTGAGTGTAGTGACCGGAGAAATGGCAGTCTATTACCAGATGTTACAGTTAGACCACTAGTGATTGGTAGCATTGCTGAAACTCTATTTAAGAACAAGGATAATTTAAAAGAAGTGCTTGGCACATCTTCATTACTTGAAGCTCAGGAAGTAGACTCACAATTAAGTAAAGTAACACAGCCCACACAAGCTGAGGCTGACATGGTTCCAGAGAGCTAATATTTTAGAAATGGAGTTCGGATGAGTATATTCAGCCATCATCGTAGGCCTGCTGGATGGTTCTTTATCAAATACTGTCCAGGTATCGTAAGGACATGTAGCAAGGGGCACATGAAACTCCTTTGCTAGGACATAAAGAAATACAAAAAACACAAGCATCAATAAACAGGTATTTTACATAAGACTTCATAATGACGTAGTGCAGTTCGGTGAAAGGTGTCAGACAAGTCAGGCGGTAAGAAAACCCCAAAATGCAATTAAACCAGAATCTTTGGTAGCCATATCAGTTTTTGAAGAAGGATTCAGTCACGTGTCAGTGGATTGTGCAGGACCATTCCTGAAAGCAAGAGTGGGGGACATCAGTATATCTTTACAATTATGGATAACACAACCCGATTTCCTTTAAGGATGGCAGTAGAAAGACTAACTCACTTTTCTAGGTAATTGTGGATCATCAATTGAGATATAGTCTGATCAGGGTTCTAACATTATGTTTAAAGATTTACAGGGCATTATTAGCAACATTGATATCAAACAATTGAGGTCAACTGCATATTATCTGCAAACACACGGAGCTTTGGAAATATACCATCAGGCTCTCAAAAATATATTTATGCCCAAAATGACATATTGTTATGAATATCCACATGGCTGGGACAGAGGTCAGATTTCTTACAATTTGCTTCCAGAGATTCCCTCAAATGGGGTTTAATCCATTTGAATTAATTTATAGGCATGAGATTAGATGCCCATTAAAATTGAGTAGGGAGAAGTTCTTGAAACAAAAGATGATGTTCAATGTTGGATTACTTGTCCATGTGCATGTAAGCTAGCAGAAGAGCTTCTGAAAGTTTCATAGGTGAAAATGAAAGAATGGGCAGATAAACATTCAGCAACTAGGTCAATTCAAGTGGACACAAATTATTTTTTTTTGCCTTTGCAAAGCGAACCTCTGAAAATGAAATTAAGCAGTCTAAACAAAGTAGTTAGGACAGCTAGTAAAGTGACTTATCTGATAAATACTCTGATCATAGGAAGAATTAATGTCACATAAATATGTTGAAAAGGTGTCATCATAGGGAAAAGAATAAGAAATGTGTGTCAGGTGATAACAGAAGTGGAAGATCATGGAGATAATGAGAGTGAGGTAGAAGGAGAGGTAAACAGTTCTCAAAGTGAACTACAATTTGACTTGCTAATACAGAAGTACTAGGACAGGTAAATACTCTGTTGCATATTTAAAGAAAGGAAAACAAAAATATGTTCTAAGATTACTTAGAAAGTATAAGGCAATCTGTAGAGAAACACCTGACTGTACTACATTAGGTAGACATGAAGTGAACGTAGGAGAATCAGGAGTGATAAAGCTACATCTTTATTGGTTAAGGCTGGCCGTTTGCAGTTGACACCAAAATTTGTTGTATAGTTGACAGTAAAGAAGATTATCTAAGAATACAAAGGGATCTTGATCAATTGGGTCAATGGACTGAGGAGCAGCAGGTGGAGTTAATTTGGATAAATATGAGGTATTGCATTTTGGTAAAACAAACAGTTCATATTAAGGCCCTGGGTAGTGCTGTTGAACAGACAGACCTGGGGGGTCAGGTACATAATTCTTTGAAATTTGCATCACAGGTAGACAGGATGGTTAAGAAAGCATTTAGCATGCCTGTCTTCATTGCTTAGACCATTGAGTATAGGAGTTAGAATGTCATGTTGAGGTTGTACAGGACTTTGGTGAGGCCACTTTTGGAGTACTGTGTACAGTTCTGGTCGCCCTGCTATAGGAAAGATAATGTTAAATTGGAGAGGGTTCAAAAAGATTTACCAGGATGTTGCTGCGACTGGAGGATTTGAGTTATAAGGAGAGGCTGGATAGATTGGGACTTTTCTTACTGGAGTGTAGGATGTTGACGGGTGACCTTATAAAGGTTTATAAAAGCACAAGAGGTATAGATAAGGTGAATTGCAAACGTCTTTTCCCTCGGGTGGGGGAGTTCAAAACTAGGGGGAAAATATCTAAGGTGAGAAGAGAAAGATTTAAAGGGGACCTGAGGGGTAATTTTTTCACACAGTGGGTGGTTTCTATGTGGAATGAACTGCCAGAAGAAGTGGTGGATGCAGGTAGGGTTACAACTGTTAAAGACATTTGATAGCTACACAAATAGGAAAGGTTTAGACGGATATGGGCAAAATACGGGTAAATGGGACTAGTCTAGTTTGGGAAACTTGGTTGGCATGTTTCCATGCTGTACAACTCTGTAAGCTCTGGTGGAAACAGTTTCAATACATACTGAAAAGCCGCTTGATTGAACCTACTCTAACCTGCTGGAGTTTACCTATTGAGTTAGTTCCTAAACTGGAGGGAACACATTGATTCTGTATGGATTAAAGAAAGGTAAATTCAATTGTGAAGACAAATTTGAATCCTATTCCACTGTTAGAGGAATAGTAGTTTTGACAGGGTATCATTTCTTTCTAAGATTGGGGTTGTAAATCCATGTCTTTTCTTATTGCTCTGTATTTTTAATTGTGGATTGAATGGCTATCATCAGACATGATCATTTTGAATAATACAGCAGACTCAAAAGGCTGAATGGCCTACTCCTGACCCTATGTTCTATGTTTCTGTGAAATGGGAAAGGAATTGCTTTAAAGCCTTAGAAGCTGAAGGATTATTACGCTTTTGAAAGCAAGTAAATGACATTCATTGTAGGTACTGTTTGCACAGCTGAAGCGGCTTGCACAGTTCAAGCAGCGGCAGGAGAAGGTGCAGACCAGCTAAAGCGAAGGATGTCCACAAACAGAGATTCAGTTGGCAACAAGTAGTTGATGGGGCTGTAAGCAATATTTGGAGAAGGCATCAAATCTCAAATGCTCAGGCGCTCTGTTTTCTCTGCAGTAAAAGCCACATTAACCCTAAAGGAAAGAGTGTATTTTCCCTTCAGCAATTCCTGTAAACTGTGACCTTTAAGAAAGGATAAATAGATATGTGTTGTTGTTTGTGTAACACATATTTTGTGATAAACCAT